AAGTGATTTATAGAACCAATAGCCATGATTAACAAAATGTTCAATAACAAAAAAAAATATATATATATATAGGTCAAATGGTATTTCCAAAAGATGTAATCTTTAAAAATAACCATGAATTGGTTATTTCGAAAACATGCAACTTTTGAAAATAACCGTAAAAAATGGTTATTTCGAAAAGATGCAACATTTGAAAATAACCATAAAGCGGCTATTTCGAGAGACGCAACTATTGACAAAGCGGTTACAACGAAAAGACGCAATTTTTGGCAGAGCAGTTTTAACGAAAATATGCAACTCTTGCAAATAACCATAAAACGGTTTTTCTCGAGAATACGTAACTCTTGACAAAGTGGTTATAACGAAAAAACGCAACTCTTGACATAGCGGTTTTAACGAAAATATGCAACTCTTGCAAATAACCATAAAACGGTTTTTCTCGAGAAGACGCAACTCTTCAAAATAACCATAATGCGGTTTTTTTTTAACTTGACTCTAGCATAAACCTATAAATACAAAACGGTTTTTAGAGAAGTCACAACCCAAAATATTCATTTGTTTAAGTTTGCTATTATATATAGATATAATAACGACGAGTTTATTTCAAGTTGAATCTCTAGATGAAAATAATTATGTAATTTGGTCAACAAATCTTTAGTTTATTAAAGTAAAAGTGACGTAAATTTGATTTATTAATTTTCGATCAATAAAATAATCTTGATTCATTTTTTTTTTTTGTGTGGTCACGTCTTGATTCATTTTTTTACTATAGGAGTATATAATGTTTTCAAATGTTGAAAACATAAAAGTAAAAAATCATCTTTTGTAGGAAAAATAAAACCATATCCAATAAATAAAGTTATCTACAAATATATAAACATCATTAAACTTGAACTTTGGTTTTTTGATTTTTAAGATAATCGTCTATATATTTTTCAAAGATATACATGGTATTTTTTCATACAAGACTTGATTATGGTTTGATAATCTCCAATTGAAGTATGAATAAAACTATAGTATAACGAAAATCAATTAAAAAGGATAAACTGAACCATACATATAAGTTGAGCAAACGAAGGAAATTTATGAGAATAAGGAAAATACCACAAACTTGAAAATTTTAGAAATACGAAAAAAGTGTTTCAAAAGAAATTTTGAAAGAAAAAGTCTGAACCCATCTAGGAAGATTTATTTAACAAAACGTGTAAATAATCAAATCTAGTTTTTTTGGTATATTTTAAAAGTTATGATATTCCTTGAAAACAAAATGAAAACATAGTATTTAAATAATGTCCTATGAATCAATATACATACGTCTTTGTGGTACATATGGTCGTATCAATCAATATATATGTACATTTTCGTTTTCGTCTTTTTACAATTTTGGAAAAGGATTCAAATCAAGAGAACTCGGGATTGCTTTTAAAATACGCAAAGATACCAACAAAAGGTGCATTGATGTACGTCGTGGGCTCCGTCTCGCTAGCATTTGTCCGACCTCCAATAAATGTATCATCCACATCAGGTCCGCCAATCACCGCACCTACTAGAATGTTCGGGTTTGGATTGGGTGATGAGAAAATACTCCATCCTTGTACGCACCCAAAGGCATTAGGATGAACCATACGAGACGGTATAGACGAGCCACGGTGGTGGACCTGTTGCGGGTACTGGTCACCATACCCAATCATGTATGACAACTTCATTGGGTTATCTCCCAAAACGTAATCCACCTAGCAAAATTATTAATCACTATTGTTAGGACACACACACAAAATGGTTCTAGACCAATATTTAAACTTCGACCACTAACGGTTTTAAGGAATCATTAGCTTTCAATTGACAATGAATTAATTAAATATGTCGTCAAGTTAAATCAATCTCTACTAAAAAGAATAATATAATAGCGGTAAACAAAAAAAAAAAAAATCTTAAGATTTTACCAAATCATGATTTTTATGACAAACTATTGTACCTGACGTTTGACAATGCGGCGAAGAGAATCCGGTTGAAATTTAAGGCTACCGCAGTTGAGTTGCTGAGAGGATTTAGAGAGGTAATCGGCATAGGTAAGGAGAAGGAAAGAAAGTGCGGCCGTGTTCTGGAGCTGGGTGCTTCCGCGTTTGTAAAGGAGACCGCCGGGAGTGTAAGTCATATGTGGACCGGGTGTTTCCGGCAAGAATGAACACATCATTTTTTCCGCTGTATCTTTATATGCTGTTAACGCAGTCACATTCTTTTCGAATACTTCCTGTTCAACCATATCGATGTAACATTTTAATGAAAAAAAAATTACCGGAAAATATGTTATGTATTACTACCAAATTCATAGCGGTTATGTTGACCTCGTGATCATATAGAGAATTGGATCAAACCTTAGCAATGAGAACATTAACACCCCCAACTTTGTTGTCCCAGCCAAACTCGAAATAATTGAAATCTGCACCGAAAACTTGACGATTTTTCACCAAGTACATTAGGTAAAAATCATCACCGGTCGCTCTTCTCAGCCACGCAGCTCCCCATAGCAACTCATCCTACATGACATAATATGATTTATATTAAATTAAAACCGACAATGGAACTATTAAATTGTATTGTGGAATATTGAAAATGAAGATATATATATACCTTATATCCATTAACACTGCAATAAAAAGGGCAAACGGCTTGGTTCACATCCAGATTATCGGTATAAGAACCTCGATGTAAATCCGCATACTGAAACGTTTTCACGGCTTTATCAAGCAGAATTCTAGAATATCTAGGATTTGACTGTTTGAATGCGATTGAAGCGGCTGCTAAAGCTGCCGCGATTTCTCCCGCTAAATCGGAGGCTGGCTGTGGTGCATCCAAGGCAAAAGCGGTTCGTGGTGTGTCCATATCTTCAGGTCTCTCCCAACAATCATGGTCCGGTTGTGCTTCACCTACCTATACCATTTTAATCCTATATTGTTAGTGTGTGCCCATCAAAAAGAATTCATATATTTTTCCATTAAATCTGTGATTTCGTAAAAAAGTAATCAACAGCAAATTATTACTTCTTCTTAGTGATGATCTACAATTTGATTCTGACGTTATCAACATACCATGGAGTTTTATAATTTCCTTCCGTTTATAGAATAAACCGATACTTATTGATTATAAATTCTG